AGGGAATTATATATAGGTGGGTAAATTCTCAAGACCTTTGGTCTGTTAGACAACCCTGAGTATATTTGATATTTGTTACCGCTTTTTTTTTGGCTGCCTTTTTTTTTTAAAAATAAAATTTTCCGTGAATAAATTGTCCTATCTACCTATTTGATGAGGGCACGGCGTTCCTTTAACTGCTTTCTGACCAGGAACCCTCTAAATACAGCCTGAAGAAGAACAGTAGAAGTTCTGATTTTTTGGTAGAGGCCTCTGACTCGCTTGCCTCTATAACTGGTCTGTATAGTCACAGCAGCTGCTTTCATATCATGGTATTTCTTTCGGGTCTCTTTCATGGTATGGCAAGCTCTAAAGCGACTCTGTATAATCCGCGCTGACTTCTTCACTTTTCTATACCTCTTTTGGTCGATACATTGACGCACATAAGATTGAGCGGTAATTGCTGCTTCCTAAAAAAACAAATAGATTGATGAAAATCTTAAATTAAGTATTCAGTGCTGTAAAATACTACATGTAATTAATTTTCAGGAGGTTTTATGGGCAACAACGACAAACAAGTCATCAAATTACATGCATGTACATGTATATACATGTAAATATTCCTTAATTTGGTCACCAATTGAATTGTAGTTATAGATTTAAATTTAAAAAAAAAAATTCATGCAGTAAACCGCTTAAAGGGACATGGACATCGTTTCAAATGATTTTTTAAAACCAATTTTAATGTTCACATTTCCTAACTGATATATTATCTAAAGAACAGCAAAAAATGAGCATCGTTTGTTTAATAACATACAAGATACAGATCTTAAAGTTCTTCATAATGTTAACAAGGCTCGTGCCTTGTTTTTGTTTTCATATTGAAAATATCATATTTATAATACAATGAATTTCAGTAAATCTCAAGAAACTGTTTAATCATGTTTAGAATTAACTTCTTCATTAAAAATATCTGTTTTGAACAAATATATATTTAGTATATTAACCTATGTAAACAAAATCATGACACAGACCCTTTTTACATAACAATTTAATGGTTTGTAGCTCTAAATCTGTCTTGTATCTCGACAACTGAAGACACAGTGAAGTTCAAATTTTGATGATCATTTGAAAGATCTTCATTAAATATTTATAAAAATAGAAAAATAAATTTGAAAATTTTAAGCTGAAACTGTGTCCATGCCCCTTTAAGGTAGTCAGATCCTCAGGTTTATAAAATTAGCAGTTAAGTAATGAAAAATACGCATTAAAGTATCTATGAATCCACAAAGTTGTTTAACTTTATACACAGTATTTCTTTAAAGTTAAAGATTAAAGTTAATCATATCATAGGGAAAATTGTCAAATCTCAAATATTTTTGCAGAAAAAGCGAATTGGAATATCAGCAATGCATTTTCTAATTGCAAATCGATCAACAAATATATTTTAGGTTAAAAAACGATAGGTATCCAGGCATTAGAGAAACTGTCATGATTTTCATACTTATTATTATTTGGTATTTTTTGTCTTCTATTTCCGTCATGTATTCTATAATACATAGTGTAAAAGGCTTTTGCTGTCATTGCAAGACACCACAAATTACTTCTTATTTCATATCATGCTAATAAGCATTGGTATCTAAGGCTGGATTCAAGAAAATTTTAATTTCTCTAAAACTGTTTTCATTTTTTTCCTTTTATAGGGTACAAATGTCAACTTTTATAAGACCTTTTCAAAGACTTCCAAAAACATCGAAACTTATAAAGATGAATAAAATAAAATTGTTGCATTTTCAAGCTTCATTTTGATGCATTTTAAATTGAATTATTATTTTTTGGAGTTATCCTTCCTTGCTGAGGATCGGATATCCTTAAAGTCAATGTAATAAAGGAAGGAAACATAACTGTATTCTAGGGAAATCTAAAAGGTAAAAATTGTTGATTATTCCAAACTTGCATATACAAAGTATTCTTCCCCTATCAGGGACTTGAAGGGCAATACCACAATTAAGGAATAACTGTCACATTTTTTATTTCATGACATGATCAATCTATTGGCTTGCGTGATAATTTGCAATGAAATTATCACGCAACCAATCGATTGATTATTGTCATGAAATCGTAAAATCTTACAGTTATTCTTTATATATAAATGCTCTTGATTCCTCCAATCCACATGCTACATTAAGCCCTGCTTCTCTCTAGCTATTTTTCCCGCCCTGCACGTGATTATTTAGCCGCCCATCGATGAACCAGTACATTGATGGTGAAATAAAGTACATAAACTATTTGTAATTTTATCTCGAACAAAAACTTTGGAAATGTAAATATTTAGAAAAAAATTATGGGTGCTAAGGTGGGGAAATTCTCCTAACTCTGGGTCTTAGGGACAACCCTGTGTATATTTGATATTTGTCTCCTGTATTTTGGTAGCTGCTTGTTTTCTTTTTTTTTATCATTAGAATTTAATTCTGCTATTTTTCGAATGATTTTTTCCATAGAAAATGGTCCCATCTACCTGTTTCATGAGTGACTGTAAAGTTGTTTCTCGGCTCCACAAAGTGATACATATTTTTGACATATTAATGTTTACCTTTGTAGATTGATTTGCATCTCAGACACTTTAACACTAATTGCCATTAGCTAGCATATACCGCGGCATCAGTGGTTTACAAACGCATCTTGTTATCATTGATATCAGAAATTAATAATGCTGTTTTTAAACTAACATTGTCCATGAATAAATTGTCTCATGTACCTGTTTGATGAGAGCACGGCGTTCCTTTAACTGCTTTCTGACCAGGAACCCTCTGAATACAGCCTGAAGCAGTACAGTAGAAGTTCTGAGTTTTTGGTAGAGGCCTCTGACTCGCTTGCCTCTATAACAGGCCTGTATAGTCACAGCTGCTGCTTTCAGATCAAGGTATTTCTTTTGGGTTTCTTTCATGGTATGGCATGCTCTAAAGCGACTCTGTATAATCCGCGCTGACTTCTTCAATTTCTTATACCTCTTTTGGTCAATACATTTACGAATAAAAGACTGAACAGTTATTGCTGCTTCCTATAAAAAAAGAGATAAGAATCTAAATGTATGTAAACATTCCTGTTTTTGGTCACAAAACTAATGGCACACCAGATGCTAAAATTCAATGTAATATTTTTGTCCTAATCATATCCACTTATATAAGAATGGGACATACTGGCTTTTCTTTAGCTAGAACAAATTTGATTGAAATTGGCCAAGTATAGTTGTAGAATTTGAAAAGTTTTACATGCAGCTTATGACAGGCAGTTACATGTATACAGCTATATTATGTATACTAGTAAGAGGCACTCTTTCATCAGATTAGAACATATTTTTAAAATATTCTCAAGTATGTCTAAAGGGAAAGTTTAATTTTAATCTAAAACATATAATCCAATACATGTGTAGAGGAGTTACAATGTAATGACTGCATGTGTATTGGGTAAATATTAATCTTAGGGTTTGATGTGGTACTATAACCCATCAGCATAGAAGTATTCATGCATTTTAAAGAGTCAGGTTTAAAAGATTAAACTTACTTCGTTTTTCTTGTCAGTCTTTTCTGCTGCCTGTAGAAAAACATTTTATCAAAAACAATTATCTTGCAAAACCATATTGTAAAACTTTTTTCTTTAAAACAATTTATTCCTGATGTTGGGGTTTTATTAAAACAAAACATGAACAATTTATATATGTACTAATTACCATCATTTCATTAAAGATGTTCAATTTTATGTCAGGATTTTTTCTGAGTTCTTCTTCGAATCTCTTCCTTATACTTTTGAGGAAAATCTAGAAAAGATAAACAAATTTGATTTCTCAACACGGTGTCTTAATTCTTCATTATGCTTGGTTGATCGTACTTAAATTACCATAAATTAAGACAAATTATAAAGGACAAGTAAGGTTTTTGAACACATATAATTATCTAATTCTCACATATATATGACCTAAATGGATATATCTGCGTAAATATTAACCTAGTAATTAACATTAAATTTATATTCTTATGTGCCATGTGATACATATCAAATACACAGGAAAAATAGCAATACTAGTAATCAAAAACTCTGAAATATTGGTTATCAGTCAAACTCCAGTGCTAAGAAAAAAGTCCAGAAAGAGAAAGTAGGATTAAGTGCCCAATTAAGCATTAATTAATATGTGTATCCAATTTTGTATCACATTTAATGAAAAAGATGAGATGCATATAAACCAGAAACATATAACGAATTTCAAATTCGAAGAAAAAGAACTTCAATTATTTTTACTTACCGCTGCTTTGATCTGTACCTGGCGTGGGTCATATGCATCCATCATGAATGGCTCTGTACCATCCTTCTAGATACAAGAAATATAAAAAAACTGTAAGTATACAGCAAAAAGATGGCACTACACAAAAATAAATCTGCCACCAAATGTAATTGATGGACATACTGTAGTACTTTGGCAAGCGCAGAATTATATTTAATTAATTTAATTTTAAGTAAATGACAGGGTTACATAAAATAATTCAAACATTTATCTAGAAACACTTCCTCTTCTTTTGTTTATAAATACTTACCAGTATTATGTGTGCTGCCTTGAGGCATATTTCCTCTGCAAGGTCCTTTTCGAGTTTCCCTTTCTCTTCTTCGAATACTTGCCTCAAAATTGACTAGTATATATTAAAAAAAATAAATGAAGGTCAGATTTAAAGCTATGAAAAATTTACATGTAATTGATTACATCAAATATAGTTTGGACTAATGACATAAATTTGTATGATTGTATTACCAGTATCTTTAAGACATTATTTACAAACCTTTGTAAAAGTCTGCAAGCCAGTCCCCTCACTCATAAAGGTTTCTTGATTCAGCTAAATAAGGAAATAAATTATGTATGCATGCTACTTATTAAAACGCCAATGATAATTTATATGTTACAACAACCGTTAAATTTTGTATAAAGCAATTTAATATGATTGTTAAATATTTGTGTACAAGCAAATAATAAGACTTAAAATCAATTTAATATGAATTATACATGTTCTACATAATTATGCATTCTCATTTTTGCAATAAATTGATTTCTACAGACTTAGTTTTCACATTCTGTTAAAATTAAATTAAATTAAAATACATTAATAAATATTACCATATCTAGAACTTTCATGAATTCCTCTAACACTTTATTAAATATTTCTATATATTTCTCTTCCACGAGCTGAAAAGAAAGATTTAAAAAGAAATAATTATTTTTTTTTTACAAATTGTAACTGAAGAAGGTAATGATTACCATGAGGTGTACCTGAACAGTCATCAAGGAAAACCCCTAGCCATTACCCATTGTTAACCTCACACTTCTGTTTTTTTTTTCTACTTAAATTTTCCTACTTATTTTCATATAAAGCCTTAAACCATCTATAGTTTATATAAATTATCACAGGACTCTCACTTGCCGATGCAGGGACAGTACTTTTTCAAACTTGAACATAAATTTCATGGAAATGGATTGATAACCTTTGGATAATCTTCTTGAAAAGTTAATTAAGCATTTTCCGAATAGCCATTGGTATTTTGTCCCAATAGTTCTCTATATACACAACCTATCCCTTCCCGATAACAACAAAAAAGTTCGTCACATTATGAAAACATTTTAAATCGTCCTCATACATTCTTATAAATGTCAATTGCATACTGCATACAAACAAGATTTGTTTCTTACCAGAGTCCTTTTAATGCTGTCCAGCATTTTGATTTTGTTGAACTCACTAGATATCTTTCACAAACAAAGTTGCTTTGGAGTATTGTGACGTTTTATGACGATTTGTATTGTGACATTTTATGACAAATTTGTATTGTGACGTTTTATGACGACTTGTATTGTGACGTCATAGAACTTATAGCGTAGCTATTATTTTGTTAACAAAAGACAGATATCAAATCTTAATAATTTTGAAGAGTAAATGGCACGTAAACGGTTTAGGTTTTGAGAACTTTCACAAATTACCGTATTCTGCGATTTTTTTAAGGACCTGGACAGATTCAACATTAATTTGGTTATTTTTTTCCAGAAAAAAATTTCAAAAATTCTCCTAGCAAATAAATATTTTCGATTTTTATAAGTTTTAATCTAAATATGACGTGTTTAAGGAAGTATCTATATATAAAATCTCATCATATGAGATCATACTTCTCTAGATTAAATTTTGGCTGTTGAATTTTGAGAGGTATGTATATTTACCCTGAGATAGGTTGCATGAAATTTAACATGCGAGTCCCTTTGTGTACTTTTAAGATTTGTACTCCGATTCAAACTGTAATCGTGTTATGTTCAGAAAAAGGAAAATCCGGAAGTATGTCAACCCTTTCGATAAATATTTTGTGTCTCATCTCAATAAAGCTTAAAAATATTGCCTCTACTGCTGAAAATCATGGAAATTAGAGTAAGTTTATGAACAATAGCGTAGCCTTCCTACGGAGGACCACAGGTGTTAATTATCAGTCCAATTAAACTAACTTCGGTTATACAGTTATTGTAATTGTATGTTTACCTTAATTTTTTTTTAATATGCCCGCTTGAAAAGCGGGAGTATTTGTACAGCATGATATAGTGAATGATGGGGTGTCCGTCACTTTGGACTTTCCGTACATACAGTTTCAAAGAACAACTAGGAGACTTATTGTTCATAGAACAATAAGAGGTCTTTCCACCTTTTTAAATTTCTTATAGTTTTAAATTTTACACTCTAAATTTAATTTTAAGGGAAATGGCTTGAAAAAAAAATGAAAATGTAAAAAAAAAAAAATTTTTTTGAAATGACCTTGACCTTTGACCTTGAAAATTTTTTCAAGGTCAAAGGTCAAGGGACACATTGCAATTAACCCCATGCTTCTACCATTTATAGTTTTCAAGATATAAGTTTTAATAGTAAGTATAAAGAAGTTAAAGGGCAATAACTCATATAAGGGGTCATTAGATCCTTTAGTACTTATACAATGAAGGTGTGCGTAAAGACCCTTAAATCATAAGTGAAGGTTTCATGCCTCTACGGTCTACAGTTTTGAAGTAGTAGTGATAACAATGTTTTTCGCATAAGGGGCAATAACTTTTGATAGAGTCTATCTTGGGGAACAAGAATGAAATCTTTGAAATAGTTTTAAGTGTACATATTAATGATGCAAAGACTGATTGCATATGTTAAAAGACAAAGGATATATAAAAAGAGCTTAATTTCTCATTTTTGCAATGACCTTGACCTTTGACCTTGACAAAATATTCAAGGTCAAAGGTCATGGGTCTCAATGCAGTTGGCCCCATGCTTCTACCATTTATAGTTTTCAAGATACAAGGTTTAATAGTAAGTATAAAGAAGTTAAAGGGCAATAACTCATACAAGGGGTCATCAGATTCTTTTGCACCTATACAGTGAAGTTACGTCTAAAGACCCTTAAGAAATTAGTGAAGGTTTGGTGTCTCTACGGTCTAAAGTTTCGGAGGAGTAGCGATAACAAGGTTTTTCGCACAAGGGGCAATAACTTTTAAATGGGGTCATGTAAGGGGAAAAGAATAAATGCTTTGAAACAGTTTTTAAAGTACATATTATTGATGCATAGACATTAAGTATATGTTAAAAGACAAAAGAGATATAAAAAGAGATAAATTTATCAGTTTTGGAATGACCTTGACCTTTGACCTTTCCATAAATTTCAAGACCAAAGGTCAATGAATCTTATGCATTTGGTCCCATGTCTCTACGTCTTCTCGTTTTGAAAATTTTTAATTATTTGTAAAATTCTAAAACTTCCAGGGGCAATAACTTATTGAAGGGGTCAATAAATACTTTCACAATGAATCAATGAAGTGTCTACTAAATTAGTCGAAGACATTAGTGAAGGTTTCATTTCTCTACGGTTTATGGTTTCGGAGGAGTAGCGATAACAAGCTTTTTTGCGAAAGGGGTAATAACTCCAAAAGGGGTCATAGTTTATATACGCAGGGTCAACTGCGAAAATCTTTTACGGAGTACATTCTTATGAATTGAAAATCTTTATGATAAATCTTGAAACTCAAAATCACACGGCGGAAAAATAATAAAAAATAACTAGGAGACTTATTGTTCACAGAACAATAAGAGGTCTTTCCACCTTCTTTGAATTTCAAATTTCTTTTATATCTGACTCCTTAAAATTAAATTTCATGAAAAAAAAACAAAATTGTCTTAAAACATAGAAAAAATTAAAAAATTAAAAAAAAATGGAATGACCTTGACCTTTGACCTTGAAAAATTCTCAAGGTCAAAGGTCACGGGTGACAATGCAATTGACCCCATGCTTCTAGGTCTTATAGTTTTCAAGTTATAAGGTTTTATATTAGGTACAAAGAAGTTAAAGGGCAATAACTTATATAAGGGGTCATCAGATCCTTTTGCATTTATACAGTGAAGTTAGGCATAAAGATCCTTAACACATTAGTGAAGGTTTGGTGCCTCTAGGGTCTATAGTTTGGGAGGAGTAGCGATAACAAGGTTTTTTGCACAAGGGGCAATAACTTTTAAAAGGGTTAATTTTTAGGGGACAAGAGGGAAATCCTTGAAATAGTTTTAAGAGTGCATATCAATGATACATAGACATTGAGTATATGTTGAAAGACAAAAGAGATATAAAAAGAGCTAAATTTCTCATTTTTGAAATGACCTTGACCTTTGACCTTTACACAAATTTTAAGGTCAAAGGTCAATGAATCTTATGCAGTTGGTCCCATGTCTCTATGACTTCTTATTTTGAAAATTTTAAATTATTTCTAAAATTCATAAAGTTTCAGGGGCAATAACTCATTGAAAGGGTCAAAGAATGCTTTCGCAATGAATAGATTGAAGAGTCTCCTAAATTAGTCAAAGACATTGGTGAAGGTTTCATACCTCTACGGTTTACAGTTTCGAAGGAGTAGCGATAACAAGCATTTCTTGCGAAAGGGGTCGTAACTCTGAAAGGGGTCAAGGTTCATTTACGCAGGGTCAACTGCAATAATCTTTTACAAAGTACATTCTTATGGACTATAAATCTTTTCGATATATCTTGAAACTCAAAATCACACGGCGGAAAAATAAGAAGAATAAGAAACAGAAGAATACCAATAGGTCTTTCCACGGAAAGGTGGAAAGACCTAATAAGAAAAAAAAGAAACGGAAGAAAATCAATAGGTCTTTCCACAGAAAGGTGGAAAGACCTAAATATAATGAGCTCATAAACATGTATACTTTATAAATGTTAATTATTAACACCCGCAACTAAAAATTCAAAAGTTTTCAGTTTTATTGAATTTTCCGGGATATACTTGGAAAAGTAAGTTTGAGGTCAAGGTCAAGTGAATTGTAACACTGATTTTTTTTTCATCATGTTTTATGATAATCAGACTGAGTGTACATGCTAAATAGAATAGAATTACCCCTTGAATGTCAAAAATATGCTGTATAGTGGCACTTTTAACTTTTTAGTAGATTAGGTCAAAGGACAAGGTCAAGGGTCACGACGTCGGTAACCATGGCACTTCACAAATGGCATAGTGTCAAGCAATAAATGTGAAAAATATCAAATCTATATTTCTTTCAGTTTTTGAGGTACAAGGTATGACAGATGGACAGACAGACAGCTAGAAAGATGCAGACAGACAGACAAAGGTCTGCTCCGCAGGCGACACAATGAGTAGACATGCAATTCCTATTTGCAATTATTAGTAAAGTAGGTTAAATGACAAGTTCAAGGGTCACTAGGTCGGTAATCATGGCAATGTACAAATGCCATTGTGCCTAGCTGTGGAACTGTAGCTCCCTGCTTGAGAAAATTCAGAAAGATAAAGCAGATCTTTAAAACAGTCCTGTGAATAGTTTATTAATGTCGGTTAAAACAGTTCTATTTCGACGACCTTTACCACAAACAGCCATTTGTTAGCGTTGAAAGGTAAGTAAATCATCAGGAATTGAAGTTAAATTTATGATGAATTATCAATTACCATTTTTAAATACTGAGAAAAGTATAAAATACAAGAAAAATACTTAATCTGTCCTAATTTTCTCAAGCAGAGAACTATATAATACAGTTCTGCCTCTACATAATCGAAGATTCGCTTAGAGGTTTACATACTTTTAAAAATCTTAAACCTTGCCCATAAGTTTTGAACGGTAAAGGCTAGGGCTTTCATACTTCACATGTATAATCCTTGTGACCTTGGAGTAAGACTTACTTTTTAAAAACTTTAATCTTGGATATCACTTTTTAACGGTTAGGGCTAGGCTTTCATACTTTAAATTTAATCCATGTGACAAAATCTTTCATTGGATACCAACAACTTTGACCTTAACCTTTGACCCTTTTTTTCAAAATCTTTACATTGGCCATGGCTTTTGAACGATTAGGGCTAGGACTTCACAAATGAAATCCTTGTTACAAGACTTTCTGTGGAAACCAACTACTTTGACCTTTTGACCTCGACCCCGAAGGAACAAGAGCCACGAAGCATGAAAATCCGCACCATCTTCAAACTTTATAATTTTTTAGCAATTGATAGTCCAGAATGTGTAGGTTGTGAAACAGTTTATTTTTTAACAAAATCTCTTCTGGTTTTCTTTTTACAGATGTTTGAAATAAGCATTGTTTTCCAAATAAAATGCTAAGACATCATGACGTTGACGTTAAAGACTTTGACGTCATGGCATTAAGATTGTTTATAGGAGGTAACAAATTTACATTTTTATGGATAAATCCACCAAAAGAAGATTTTAAATGATAAAAAAAAAATTATGAAAGCAATACCACAATCGTATTTTATATACTCAGGTAACTAATGACTAATTCTCGGACCTTTCCGGTGTAAAGACGAATAATGACCCCCCATCGAATAATGACCGGGGGGTCATTTTTCAACGACAAAAAATGACCCCCAACCGTAGAAAAAAATCATTTTTTGTAGAAAAAGAGTCCTAGGGGGTCATTTTTTATATGTTAGTCCTATAGAATAATGACCCCCATAGAAAAATGACCCCCTTTAAAGTAATACAAAATATACACTTTTTGATAGCTTTTTTACAGCGAAACTAATTTTTACATTTTCTGTAACCAGAAAAATACAAAATGTCGTATGAAATAATTAAGAGATTCACGTAGTCTTTTAATGCTAAAATTGTGTTTGAAAAGAGATTCTTTAATTGTCAAGTAAATAAAATTTTTTTTAATATTCTTCCTTATAATGTTTGCTTAAAGAATGATATTCCACATGTTTTTAGAAATTAAACCATGCAAAAATCAGGTTTAAATACTCTTTAATAGGAAAATTTAAATTTTCCGTCATTTCAACTTTTAGTTTGTTAAAATTTGTCAAATCCTATTTGACAATGAAAGAGGAGGAAATTTTTATCCCCCCCCCAAAAAAAAATGAACATTACGTTAAATCAAAACCAAAATAAAAAAAAAAAATAAATGAAAAGCAAAAATATAAATAAAACTTTATACATTTCAATAATTCTGAAAGAGGCTCTAGATAAAATATTGAAATGGAGTTAAGCCTTCACAAAAGTACTATCACATCATATCTTACTTCGCCATGATTAAAGCATACTTTAAATGTTGGTGGAGGTATACTTGAAAGTATTGTGGCAAAGTAACAGTTAAAAATTAGTAGAATAGTAGATTATTTTAAGCCAATTTTTAATTCCTTCTTATAGAAAAATAAAGGTAGGGTGGTTTGTTTTTTTTTGTTCAATATCGACTTCCTCCTAAATAAGAAAGGGGGTGGGGTAAGTATCTAAGACCTAAAGATATGCTCTGTAAAGCTATGGGCTAGTGTAAAATACACAGTCATTCTAATGCAAAAACTATACATGTAGACATAAACTTTTGATTTAGCACACAGTATTCATTACATTTTTTTAACGTAGAACCTACTTCGTATGACACCATATCTGGTAAATGTGTTTAACCTGTGCTAACCCATTAAGACGTCATAATTAATTCAATGCCACTTTTTCCCGTACTTGACAGCTTCAATAGAAATGGTAGAAAATACTGCATTTTGAAATTCACAGAATTCAATCATGCCAACATAATCTTAATTCAATTCATATATTTTTTGGTTTAAAAAGCTTAATGGCAATATATTTCTGGAATAAGAGAAAATATGCAATCACCTTTTATTTACTAGATCTAGACCTGAAGTTGACAAACCCAAGACTATCTAGTGTAATGAAATTACAATGTACATACAATTTTCGTTATAATTTGAATGGTATGTAACCATTTTGAAGGAATGCATAAATCGTAAGAAATCTTTAGTTGCCAGCTATATAGTGTAATATCTTGATGAAATGTGTCTAAGTCAAAGATGTACGTGTTGTAGATCGTTTGATCGTGTGTACATTTTTGTGATATCTATAATGAAATGATGTGCATTCCTTTTAACAATTATTTGTTACCTATTCATATTCTTGGTGTTGATTACAATTTTTCTATTAAATATGATCTATTTAAAGTAAAAGTACAATTTCTGATTAATATTTAATCTGAAAGTAACCCCAAACAGACATTTAATCATTAAATCCCGTGTGAGTGCAAAAAGGTCAAGAATATGAGTATCGGTAAATAGCCTATCTTTCATTAGTTAGAGGGGGAAGGTATATATTTCAATCACTTTTTGTAATCATTTGGCTATGTTCTTCATCATATTGAAGATTGAAAACATTGTGACAAAGACTTCTAAAAACATTTACAAATGTAGGGTGCATAATTGACTAAAAATAATAGAGTTCATTTGACTATTTTTTTTAATGGTGGACTTATCTTTTATGTTAATTGAATAAAAAAGAAATTATTCTTGATAAAATATTGTTTAATATTATTCAGTTAATAAAGTTTATAAACGACGATGTTTGAAAAATATTTTTGTGATTTTTCATATTCCCTTTATGACAAGAACCCTTAAAAACATTTGAAAATGTGAAGTCGCAGTATGTAAATACCATACCAAGTTTCACGGCCTGTTCTAGATTAAAAAACAAGGAAACATATCATGATATTTTAACTGATTGATAAGCAAGTACTCATTTATCATTTTGAAAAGTTTGAAAATCTTGTGACAAAGACTTTTCCGACATAGGTTCTACCTTAATTCTTGTTTTACTCCACCCTTTTACTCAGTTCTGAGTATATTTTTCAGAGAATTTAATATGAAAATCAGAACAAACATTTTCATTGTTGTAACGTCTTCTGTATAATGTATCATAATATGAAAAGTTATGTTCCCGTAATCGAAGATTCGGGGGTATACAGTTTTATCGTGTTCGTCTGTATGTCCGTCTGTCTATCTGGCGGTTTGTTTGTCCGCAAAAACCTTAACCTTGACCTTAACTTTTCATTTATTGGAGCTATGACTTTCATATTTAATATGTGTATTCCTTGTGACAAGACCTTACCTTGGGTACCACCAAATTTGACCTTTTGACCTTTACCTTGGAGTTTGTCCCATTTTACACAAAAATGCCAAATTTTTACTTTGGCCATAACTTTTAAACGGTAGATACTAGTACTATCATACTTCACATATGTAGTTCTTTGGCATTACCTTTCATTGGATACTAAAAACTTTGACCTTTTGACCTTGACCTCGGAGATTTTCGTACTTATGATTTTTTTTTTACCTTGGCAAAAACTTTTGAACGGTAGGGGCTAGGGTATTCATACTTCACATATGTAATCCTTGTTACATTAAACATTTTCTTAAGAAATCATCAACTTTGACCTTTGAGTTTGACCTACCTTTCAAAAACTTATCCTTAGCCATTACTTTTGAACAAGTGGTGCTAGGGCTTTCCTATTTTGCAATTGTATTTCTTGTGAGAAGACCCTACTTTGGGTAACAATATATTAAAATTGCATTTAAGATAAGTTTAATCTTCGCTATGTTGCCATACAGGGGCATAGCTGTTTTACAAACACATCTTTTTATATATGAGGATTTGCGGATAAGAGTTGGATACCTCAAAGCGTAACAGCCGGACGGACGGACATCCCGATCACTATATACCCTCCCGCTTTTCAAGCGGAGGATAAAATAATATATAATACTGCTGATTTTTTCTGTCAGTTCGATGATTTCCACCATCAAAAAACAATGTTTACCTAACCCTTAAGGCTTGATAAATCTTTTACTTCTTTAGATTCTGAATCATTGCATTGACCTTAAAATATAGCTATAATTGTATAATGTTATGAGATCAACATATCATCAGTTTATTCCCAATAAGCTCAGGTGAGCATTTTGGCCAATATGCTTCTTTATCTAATTTTTTTTTTGTCCCCTAAAAATTTCAGCTTCAATCTAAAGGGGGTCATTTTTCTACGGGAGTCATTTTTCTTCACGTGGGTTCTGCAAAATTTTTTGGGTGGTGACACTTTTTCTACGGGCAAAAGGGTTATTTTTCTACGTCGAATAATGACCGGGGGTCATTTTTCGCTGTTGAAAAATGACCTCCGGTCATTATTCGATGGGGATCATTATTCGTCTTTACACCGGACGTGGTGACCGGTCCTTCGGATGAGACCGTATAAACCGAGGCCCCGTGTCGCAGTAGGTGCTGGCACAAAAAAATTCCCTCACTGCTCAAAGGCCCTGAGTGCCGAGCATAGGACAAAATTTGTAGCCCTTATCCGGCATGTGGTGGCGTCTCCATATAGTTAAAAATTCTCGAGAGGGATGTTAAACAACATACAATCAATCAATCAATCTCAACAAGTCTTTAGTGTCCTTAATATATATTTATTCTTTTCTATCATTAGAATGGATCACATTCCTCGTCTATCTGAGGTCCTGTACGTGGGTCTGTGTGGTAAGATAGGGACACCGACAGAAGTGGCCATCAGAAGGGACGTGATGGACATGGAGGAGATGATAAGGAAACCTGTACAAATGTATATTGGATGTAGATATATAGACTCTGGTAGTTACAGGGAAGGTTTTCGGTTTGACTCCTCTGATCGGGATACAATGTTTTGGATTCATAGCCATAAAATGATAAGCAAACTATCTCAGTCCAGCATTTACAAGGCATCAAAACATACCATTATTCTAATGGAAGAGACAGATACACCGCCTGGATTTGTTCGATTACAACTCCTTACACAGCCAAAGGACACCATGATCAAATCAGCACTTGTTTCCTTGAACGGTACACACTATCTTTCAAATTTATTTTGGAAGGAAAAATATTTGCGAGAGTTTAAAGAAAACAAAGGATATCAAAATATAGACGGACATGGTCCTTGTTTAACTGGTTACTGTGAAAATATTGAAATTGATTATGCTCTTTGTCTTAACAGTATACACTGGACAAAAATAACAAGTAATTGGATTAACCGATCTCGTGATTACACCTGGCCTCCTGAATTTGTGTTAACTGAAATTCTGAAGAACGGTTTTCATTGTGTTGCTATCGGGAATAATATTTTATCTCCTTACTATGAATTAGAGTGGAGATTATCGTTTTCTCGAGCCGAACATAAATTAGTTTGTACCATGAACCATACCCAATTTTTATGTTACGGTCTACTGAAATTATTTCTGAAGGAAGTAATCAATCACATTATCCGCGAACCATTACTTTGTTCATATCACATAAAAACTTCAATGTTCTGGATAATGCAGTTGAATACTACTCAATGGTGCCGAAACAATTTACTGAACAGTTTCTGGAAATGTTTTAAATATCTCATTCATTGTGTTTACCATGGCGAGTTTCCCAATTTTTTCATTCCACAAAATAACATGTTTTCAAACAAAGTAATTGGATCTACTCGTTGTTGTTTACTAGAACAACTTAATCAATATTACAGAATGGGTGTGTCTTGTCTTCTTCTTAGTCCGACTCTCAGATCAATCCTGGATCCAGCTCTAAGGACTCTATCGTTTGTGGTTCATTTTGTCGAGGGTCATGTTAATTCTGTTTTAGAAATAGATAGAAATGCCAACATTGAAATATTTTCTCTTTCGTTTTCAATTAGCTCTTATCAACAAATTGTTACACAATTGAAATCGGTTGAAAGATTATTGCAATTTTCATTCTCGCCATACCAAACACTTACTTTACAATATTGTACACCTCAAACTCTTATTGACATAGTGTTCATCACGGCACAAAGTTCTTCCTGTATCTGTCATAAAGAAACGTTTGCATTAGAAAGAATATCTTGTAACATACTGAAACTGGCAGGAAGGATAGGTTGTGTGTCTGATTTACTGTACTTAGCTTTGTATTACTATAGAATTGGTAGATATCATAAAACGATAAGATTAATTCATTTCATGAGAAAAAGACTTTCACAGCCTTTCATCTCGTATTATTATCCTATAAACGAACAGAAATATAAAGCTGTATGTAGTCTGTCTCTGTCTCAGCGAATGAAAATGGCATGGGCAATGGACCTAAATCTTAAAGTGAGTACTTTATATATTCGAGAATTATTATTAGAACAACAAGAAGCCGAGAAGAATGGAAAGGCATATCTATTTATATCTCCATTTCTTACACTAGAATGGTTGTCTGTGTTATCTTACTACAGACTAGGGAATCAGTCTCTATATCAACAGTCACTGTCAGACTTTAAAACTCTGCTGTTATATGATGATTGGCGATATCTACACATCAAAGAGACCTAGCCTAGCAGATACTAGGGATTTGTCAGCACCTTGTTGGGGACTTACATGGGGCTTCATATTCTTATAAAGAGGCACTGAAACAGGAACCGTTCCATCAAATACAGAAAGCTACAGAAACTAGAATAAGCTATATTGAAAGACAACTTCATTAAACATTCTAAGTCCCCAAGGGCTGGTGATTCGACACAATGGAAAGAGAGTTAATAAAATTAATAAAAACTGATGTATATATATATGAAACATGAAGCCAAAATTATATTGGTTGTAAAGTAAATTGATATACAGAATATTCAGAGTATTCGTTTATTATATACTTAAATATAAGTAAGGGTATCTCTGAACTCTTAGTTATTTGATTGATTGAGCCAGTCCAATGCCATATAATCACCAACTGTTGTAGTCTTTTGATTTGTGTTGCTTTTTTCATATTTGCGACATTGTTGTGAATGGATCATTAAATGTTTAATAAAAATTAGTTTGTTGTAATTAAAATAAAGATTGATGGTAGCAATTGGTTTGAATCTTCAGGGCATCATCAAGAGATTGATGTCTGATTAGATTAAGAATAAATTTAAATAGGTATTGGGGGTGGGGGATGGGGCGTTATGAGCCCTTAAATTTTGTTATGTTGTCCTACGTCGATAACTGTTTAAAATATATTAAATATTAAACGATATAATTGGAATGACCTGGCATTTGAGTTTTTTTCGTTCTCATAAATCAATGAAATACAGGGTAATAAATATTATTTTATGATAATAAAATTCTAAAATTTTTA